ATCCAAATTTTTACATTTTTGGACTCTGGACCTTAAACAACATCAAGAAATGCAAAAAAAAAAGTACAGATTTTTTTCTCTATATATGGATGTTAGTGTACGTGGGCACGATTTTGTTCATCCTCTTTGAAGCTTAATAACTCCTGTGCTTTTTATTGAAAATTTCTGAAATTTTGCATGGTGATTTGTTTATTAGGGATATTGTTTATTAGATGCTATTAAATTTTGGTGATTAAAGGTCAAGGGGTAGGAATAAAGGGGGTTGTTGTGTGTATCTCCAGTAGGATCAGACTTAATGATGATTTTACTCATTATTAGCATTTACAATTTTTTATAAAACCCATCCCTACCTTCAAAATTAAGCTTTTTGCCATTTTATAATAGTTATTGATAAAAATACAAAAAGGTTTTTAGTAAAACATGATAACAGATGGTACCACCAAATGTTGCTGGGAAATTAAGCAACTTGTTGCTGGATTTATTTTCTTAGGTGGTAGAAATTACAGTTCTTAGTTTTATCATTAACATAAAATCATAGTTTCTACCAGTAAGTTTTTCCATTGCTTACTACTAGTAATGAACTGCAATTCTGATAAAAAATGTGAAAGAAATTCGAATTAATGATGAGAATTTTGTTTTCTTAAAAAAAAGGAAATAATAATAATAAATTATATAAAATACAGTCACAAAATAAAATTTTCACAACATTAGTTTGATGAACAAGAGTAATATTCTTTGAATAATTTTATCAATAACAGTATAGTTGGAATTACAGTTGTTAAATGAGAAGTGATTGTATCTATGGTCTTTAAATTCAAAAGACAGATGAAGTTTCTCATTATAAATATATATTTTATACAAAATGTATTTTATGAATAATTATTTTCTTGGAAAATTGTCTTTAAAGATGATTAAAATGATTCTTGATGTTTTTATTAACAATAAATTCCTTCAATTTATAAAAAGTTTATATATATTTATACATCATAACTGATTTCATTTCTTATTTGACTTTCCCAAAACATATCAAGATGTGCAAATTTCAGTAATTTGTCAATGGTGCATGAATTATGGGACATCATATATAATTCTTATCTAAAGTAAAAAAGTTTAAGAAAAACTTTTGATTTAAAAAAGTTTTTTCTATCAAATTTTTATCATTACATTTTAATTTTTGTGTCCTATAATCTTTTAGTCCTTCAGTGTTATAATACAATGAGTTCCATTACTCTTTGAAATAGCAACTCAAAGATTTTTGTTTCTTTCATATTATTAAAAAACTGATATTTCTCACTATTTGAGTTTATTTTATATTATGAGAAAATTTTATTTATATGATTAATTGGAAGAATTATTTTTAATATTAATTCATACTAAAAGGTTTCCAAATGTATTTATTTTATTTTTTTTGTTGTTTAAAAATGACATTGCTGGTGTATTTATCTGTTGTACTGTAATAATGTTTGTAAGATTTTTATTATTGTATTTTATTTTTTATGAAAATTTAATTTGATGAATTAATAATGATACCAAAGTATAGCAGATAGGTAATTTTGTTTTATTATTTGCCATTCTTCGATTAATTGTATTTAATTTGTTTTTGTTATATGAAAGGTTTTATTTATAATTTTTCAAAATCAAAAAAATTGTGTTCTATTTACCTGCATTTGTAATTGTTTTGAGAGAGAAACATTAATATATTTGTTGGTATTGTATTTTCTTTATTACTTTATACTCTATTATTTCACTTTTTGGTATGATTATGCTATTAATATTTCTTCTTATAGTGTCAGTTACTATTTATATTTAATTTATATATATATAAATTATTATATATATATATAAATTAAATATAAATATATAATATATATATATATATATCAGAGTAAAGTTTGGAAATTGGACTGCTAGGGGATTTGGATCATCCAGGATTTTCTGAATTCTCAGGAGGTAACTTATAAGATTCAAATTTAAGGAGAAATGAAGAAAAAGAAAAAAAAAACAATTAAATTATGATAGTATTTTTATTATTTCATTGTAAAACCACTACCATGACTACTTAGTATGAATTTATTCTGAAAATTATATTCAGAAAAGAAATAATGTTCTGTTAGATGAAAATTTATGTAGAGAATATGATGATTGTTTATGTTGTTGAAAATTGGCACACAACAATTAGGCTCTCTTTGTTTTAGAAATTTAGAGTAATCATAATGAATGTAATCTAATACTATAATATTTTATTTACTTGATTTACTGATTAAGGAATTTGCCACAATACATTGTTATTGTCTCTGCATTTTCCAAATACATTTGCAAATAACAAACTGCAAAATTCATAAAAGTATACATTTTAAAAAGTGAGATTTCTGGTTTGATTTGATAGGATAAGGCAATGCAACATAAAGTGAATCTGTCAAGGAGAGACCTGCCAGGAGATCTTTCTGTGAAAAATTGGTGCTTAGATTCTCAAATCACACCTGAATTCAAAATTTCCAGCAAATAAAAGTAAAAAATACACCTTGAACGTTTTCGGCCCGTTTTCGGCTTATTTAGATGTTAGACATGCAATGAAAATCCAGAAAAATCTGTATCGCTAGCTCATTGGCCAGGTCAAACCTAGATCAACTACTAATGTATAGTTTTTAAACATGATCAGAAGATGATTTTACAATAATGAAAGAGATGATAACAGATTATTTTTCAGTAGTTTTATCCATTGAGCTACTTGTGGGCATGTATTTCTGGAGTATTGATTTTCAAACTTTTACTGTGTTAAAGTGTTGGGTAAGTACATAAAAGAAATATATAATATTTGGGTTACTTTTCTATAATAGATTAATTTCTCAAACTTGTGACAAAACTTATTATTAAAATCACATCTATGATTTCTGAATGCAACAAATTCATTCATTATGAGTCTTGTTTTATTTTTAAACCTCAAGTACTTGTTAAATCTTATGAATTATATCTAAGAATTAAAAAAATATATATTAATCTAGAAATATTAATCTTTAAATGTTTTTTGTATGTGCTGGCATTTTTATGTAAACTAATATTTAATTATGAATGGTGATGCCAAATTTTGATAGATTATAAATAAAGAATATTCACATGCTATTTATTGCTTTGAAATTTTATTTTCTAAATTCAAAATATAGTACTTTACTCTTGAAAAATTTTTGTCTCTAGCATTTTAAGTTTAATTCAAATATAAATTATAAACTATCATATTTCAATTAAATCTATCACAGACAAGTCTGTCCAAGAGGGATCACCATTTATTTTGCATTCCAGACTACACATACACATTAATGGTGACAGGCCTTCCTTATCATATTTCCATATCCTATTTCATTTAAAAAGTTTGGCTTTTGGCCTGGATAGATAGCCCATCTCTGACCAGTACCAGAATATGAAAATATCAACATTCAATATCAGATTTATTTATCAAAATTTTTAATATTTTTTGATGGAACTTCTTTTCATTTTAAAAGGGCTATTATAGGTGTATATAGTTGCCTTACAGTCCTTAATTCTAATTTATCATTAATTGTCTACTTGGACACAACTTATTATTAGAACATTAATTTTTTCTATTACAGGAAAAATTACTACAGGTGATATAATAAAGAAATTTTGTTTTTTCTGATTCAGATTTCATCTTTGTGTCAATATCCAAAAACACCAGTTATAAGGTCCTAATAATAAGTTGTGTCCAAGTAGACAGTTAATGATAAATAAGCTATTAAAGGTGGTTTGGCTTTTCCTGTGTATATAGTATACAGGAGGTCCTTGTTTAATGAGTATTCATTATTCAAGTCCCCATAGTTAAATGGTCAAAAAATTGTGGAACATCACTTAAAAATTCCCTGCACTTACGAGGTTTCCCTGCCAGATGGTAACTTCCTCTTGCATTATGTAATCTACACATGCATTGATACATATCACCATATACAGGATGCATTATTGTGCATGTGTTTGTCAATTTGGTTCCATTTTGACTGGTTTTTCTGTTTCTTTATCTGATTTTCTTATCAAAATTATGTCTATTAATAGAGTGTAGCAAAACTGATGATAGAGTTCCTAAAAGGAAATGTGCCTCTTACAGTCTAGAATATAACAGCAGAGTATATTATACATTATAATATAAGTATACAATTGACTAAATTGAAGATAGTGATGAGGACTTTAATAAAATTTCCAGTGAAAATGTTCATTAATGGTTTACATGACCCATTTGCAAAGTGTATCAAAATCATTAATTATTTTCTTAAAAATGAACCAGTTTATGAACAGGTAGAAAAATTTGTGCATGGGATAAAAGACTCATTATCTTGTTATAAAACAATATTAAATGGAAAGATAAACTGCAGGAAACAAGCATACTTTACATTCATTTTTTCTATATCGAAACTCAGAAGTCAGTGAAAATGATCAAAATGGAAGCTATAATATTTATTATTATTATAATTGAATATCAGAAGTTATTTATAAATAACTTCTGATATTCAATTATAATAATAATAAATATTTTACATATGTGTACATAGGGATAATAAAGATTTCTTTCATGTTTTCCATTTGGTTTTGCTTTATTGGAGTCCCAATTATACATTTTTATATTTTCTATGAATTTATGATCTCTGCTTTTTGTAGATTAGTGGTAACTTTTTGGTCCTAGTTAACCATGTTAAATGAGGACCCCCTGTAGTTATATACACTATTTTACTATGCAGGATAATGCACTGCATTCTCAATTTTATATGAATATGAATATACGTATCCATATTTATTATTATCATAAATCTATTATCATATTTAATTGTAATAATTATAAACTTTATGAATTACATGAAATTAAAATATCACTTATACAATGTATTCAAGTAGTTTACATATTTTGACTAATTTTTTTAATAAATATTTTACTTTTAACTTTACCGAAATGTGATTTAAAAATGTATGCCTTTTTATAGTTAATCCAATAGTTATTGAACATGGTACATTCTCTTGGTCAAAAGATGAATCTGCAATACTGAAAGAGATAAATATCAACATTCCAGAAGGATCTCTAGTAGCTGTAGTTGGGCAGGTTGGTTCCGGAAAATCATCTTTGCTCTCTGCCATGTTGGGTGATATGGATAAATTAGAAGGAAGAGTTAATATAAAAGTATGTGCATTCAATTTAAATTTTAAAATTAAACAATGTATTAGAAATTTAATATTTAAAACTTGTTATTTAGGGAAATATTGCATATGTAGCACAGCAAGCATGGATTCAGAATGCCACATTGAGAGATAATATACTATTCCATCATGCTATGAATCATGAGAAATATAATCAAGTAATCAAAGCATGTGCCCTGGAAACTGATTTGACTGTTCTTCCTGGAGGAGATATGACTGAAATAGGAGAAAGAGTTGAGTAGAATAAACTTTCTAATTTATAATTTGTTTTTGAAATAATCATATTTTGTAGAAATAAAATACAATCTTACTGATCTAAATTATTTATTATACAGTGAAAAGTTTTGATTAGGGGGGAATATATATATCCCCCTATTATATGTATAGAAAAGGAAAATAAAAAAACTGTAACAAATATATATAAAGTAGAAGTTTGTTAACCCTATTCAGCTTTGATCAGAATGATGCATATTATCAAAAATGTACATTACCAGATGTTTTAGTTTTTTCTTTTGCAAAATTTTATGAGTTGTAAGTGTAAGGTCTCCACATCCATTCATTGGTCATCTTATGATAACAGTCAAGTGACATTGGCTCAAGTGGTTGCCAATCTATGATTCTGCAGTTCAGTTTTATTAATGTATCTCTTTTAGAAGGTTTGGATTCAGGTGGAAGGTAATAGCTCAACAGGTTAACCAAGAAAATGATTTCTTAAGTGACATGGAGTAAATACAGTTAGTAGCATATGTAGTTACATGTGGTTATCAGGTTACTGGTTTGTGGAGAGAGTGAGTGAGTTACAGTTGAATAGCTAAATACCTTCTTATATACAGTTGAATAGCTAAATACCTTTTTATAAAATATGATTCCACTTCTGCTCAAAATGGTTAGCTGTTTTTTCCCCCTAAGCATTTCCTTAGCTCTCATTCTTCTGAATTTTTAGTTCTACTCCCATGTTGAATGTTGGTAGACTGACCACCCAGTAGGCTCTGAACTCTGTCAGAAGACTGTGCTCTCTAACAATAGTCTAATCTCTGTGTTAGAATTTCCAAATTCTTCCTGTATGAACCTCAGTATGTCCAATCATTTGGACAGTTAGTCCATTTTCACTAGTCAGGTTTCAGACAGAAATATATCTTATAATGAGTTTATAAACATAGTTGTTGGAAAAATGATGTCATGAATGTACTATGCTATTTTTTTATGACAATAATGACAGCACTGGATCTCACATCTGCAATCTGAACATTCAGATACTGCTGTAAATTTTGTATCAGTATGCAATGTTGTATGCTTTTGATTTTTTATGCACTTTCGTTAATCAATTTGAAAATGATACAGTACTTGACCATAGTGTGTTAAGATTGATTGAAAAACCTTTATTACTTCAAAAATGTTAATGAATATTTTTATTTCATACAATAAAATTTTNCTACAACTTTAGAACGATTAATTAAATTTGATTAAAAAAATCCCATTAAAAAACAATTAAGTGTTAATCGCGTGTCATTAAAGGTTGATTAAAATCGCGATAAAATTTTTTTGTGTGGGTAAAAATTTTTGAAAAAATTTTGATTAAAGGTAATTCTATAGACATTAATATCAACAAGACGAGAGTAAGAGATGTTTCTTACCCCCCTTTTTGGTTGCATGTGACATGTGGTTACAGCAATAAATCGCCTCGTTCGTAGTCAAACGCGACATTTAATATAAACAGTATTTAGATTGTTGATCAGTTTACAGAAATTATTGTCAGCTGAATGTTAATTTATGGATGAGAGCCATCAAACCTTTAGAAATTTATATTATAAAATCATATCTTCTAGACACTGATATCAATAAATTAAACAAACTTCTCTGTGCCAGTGGTCCATACTAGCTAGATCCAGACATCAACACATGAACAGGTGTGCGTATAAATCATTAATGATGTCATAGCTCTCACCCCCTCAAAAATAGTATAAAGAGGGCTTGGACGCAGTCCAAAGGCAGACACCTCCAGGGCGGACATCGACTGCCACATATACTAACACATCCCACTACCCCATTCATCACTACCTCGCCATAACTGCCATGACGATCCAGGAATGTTTTTACCAACAACCCATATTACAGATCGGGAACTTAGAGGCATTTTTTTTAGATATCTATTTGTATACTCTCTCTCTGAGAAGTCTCTCTCCTAGAGGTCTCTCTCTCATTTCCTAATTTAACTTAGAGAATAGAGATTAGATGTTCCATATGAAAGACGAATCATTGTCGTGACGTAGAATAGAATTTTTGTAGCTCTTCACCTTTGCCTTTGATATGTAGAATTTTATAGTTGTTTATTAAATGTGTTATTCTTGTTCAACCTGTGTATTTATTTGGGAACCTGTCAACTTACCCATTAACCTCCCCACTCATTTCACTTTGCCCTCCTATAAAGACATCCTCTGACAGAGCTGTCGGTAAGTGGGGACAACTAACCCCCTCGGTTCTCACAGTTGTATGACAAAAGTGTCGAGTATCTTTCAATATTTCTGGTCCATCATGGAGCATGTCACAGGCTCACTAGGACTAGCTTCTTTGAAGAAGAATGGGCCAAGAATGAATGTGGCTGTGAATCCATACTAGATTGTAACTTCAGTATACAAATGCAATGATATCTGATGGAAGACATGAGGTTTTTCATGGCTCAAATATAATAGTTATAGTTATTGACTGTTCCTTGAGGTGAAAATGTCTTGTTGTTCCATAGGATTTTTCATGGCTAAGATACATTTACTTCTAATCTGGCAAAGAAGGGGAATGCAAAGATCAGTTAGATTTTCCTATTACCAGTAAGCAACTGCAAGTTGCAGCTAATCTTGTACAGATAACAATGCACCAATTTTTTCAGTGCACTGTGCCACATGATACATTCACATGTAGTATCATAGCAATTAAAACATCATTCATTGTTCAACAATAGTTGTGGTAGAGTCTTCTGTGACTTTTGAAGTGATAGGTTTGCACCATTGACAGGTTGAACTCCCAGATGTCTAGTTTCCTTGAAATAAGAGAACATTCCCAAACACCACAACAATGCTGTTATTTCATAAAATAGCTTTACAAGAACTGTACATTTTGACCTGTCAAAATGTCAAGAACTGTACATTTTGACAGGTACATTTGTACCTGTCAAAATGTGGAATGATCAAATATAGTGTAGTTAGTTTTATATCCAGAATTTGAGAGCAACATACAGTGCAAAGGTACAGTACAGTACATACAGCACATTTATACTTATTTAAAGGAAATTGCTTTTTCATTGCTTGCAGTATCAAGTGCACCATAGTGATGAGTTTTGGTATATCTTTTTTATAGAAATGTTTTCTGCATATCCTAAAATGTCAGCCGCATACCAAATTTAATTGTGTTTGAACTGCTAAGTACATTTCTAGATAGAATTGAATAGGGTTACTTTAATTGTGATTGTCCAGTATATCTACTTTTTTATGTAGTTTTGAAGTATACATTAGTATACTTACCTTTTGTGTATTTTATAAGTAGTAACCAATAAAAAGAAAATAGGACAATATTTATTAGGAATGATTTCAAAATAAATTTTTATAACAAAAAACAAGCTACTGTTTGTAATTTAAATTTTATCATCAAACTAGCTTATAATTATTCAAATATCTTTGAACCAAAAATGTTTCAATATATTTGAAACTTTGACATTAGTTATCATTACTTATCAATTAAATAATAAATAGTGATTAATTGAATATTATAACGTGGAAAGAATTCAAATAATGGAAATGTGGAGAAATTAAAATTTATATATGAAATAAATTTTTCAAGGCCAGTTTTAATGAATTGTTAGTTTTGTTGATGGTCAGGATATGATAATTGTCATGTTAATAACATGTAAATTGAATTTACATGACTAAAATAAGATTATTACTAAATTAGATAACTAAAATAATTATATGCATTTAAAATGAGTAGCTTGACTATGCAATGTTTTACTTTGTTTATATGCAACAGTGTTATTTTCTACCATTTTGCTAAAAAAGATTGGAACTAAATATGACAATTTTACTATTTTGATTTATTTGTTTCATTTTTTAAAATGTACAATATGGAAATATTTATATTATATTAATTAAAATAGTATTCCTATACAGTTTAAAATATTATTAAATAACTTTCAAATTAGAAGTCATTATTAAATAAACCTATCCATAATGTTTTCTAAACTAATTAAATGAATGAGACAGAATTTCAGCATCTTGCTGGATGGCTTAACTGTTACAGTTCATCGTATCTTTACCCATATAAAGAAGTACGTCTTTAGTTAATGTTATATAGAGCATAAAATAATAGCGAGGTTGAGGCTGAAGTTAAAAACATGAAAATGTGTAGTCGAACGTTCAGCACTGCTTTCCTGTAAGCCTAGAAGTTTGGCAATGGTGTTTGGATAGTCAGTGGAATCTGCAAAGCATATGCGAAGCAGGTTAATTAAAAGAGGAGTACCTCAAGCCAGTAGCATTTAATGCTACAGGTCAGAGGGAGTGCTCCACTAAATGTAATGTAAAATGTAGTCAGTGGAATCATGCTCAACATTCCAAACACCATTGTCAAACTTCTAGGCTTACAGGAAAGCTGTGCTGAACATACGATGTACACGTTTTTGCATTTAAAAACGTCAGCCTCAGTGGCCAAAGTTTTTAAACGCGAATTTTTAAACCTTCCTATTGAGAATTTGGCTGAATCCATGATGGGACATGTCAAAAAGACCTCCTTTGTACCAAAGAGTTTAAAACGAAAGTTAATTCTTAACATCTTTAATAAGCAACATATGTATTTTATTGTGGTTTGTTAAGCTAGCCATGTAAATGATAAATTTCAAAAAAATTTATCATTTACATGTTATGTGTTTGAATAATGAAAAACAAACAAAACTATTCCAGAAATCTATACTAATATTATGAAGAGGTAATGTTTGTAAGTTTGTATGCAAGGGCTAATCTCCGAAACTACTCATCTGATTTCAAAAATTCTTTCACCAATATTTAGAATGGAACTTCAGGATGGACATAGGCTGTATATTACTCCATTAAACATTCATGTAAATTAAAAGATATCATCTACAGTTAAGGCTTTTATGTCCAACAGATGGCGCTAGGAGTACAACACCCTAAGTTTGCTTTTCTGTGAGGATGAACTAAAGCAGATCATCTTCTGTCTATCTATATAAATAAAAGTGTAATGTTCATTTGTTCCTACTAATTCCTTTAAAATTTTGACACAACGCTGCATTCGAATACGCACGTGTTTTTATATAATATACGTGTCGAAATTTCCCCCACTGGGGGGAGATGGACAGGATTAAGCCTTACCATAAAGAACTATGCTTCTATTTATACTATTTTAGATGCAGTTTTTTGCATTTTAATAGGATATGCCAACAGAATATACACTAAAAAGGGATTTTTCGATATTCCCCCCGTGGGGGAGAGGGACAGGATTAAGGCTTACTGTGAAGAACTTGGCTTCTATTATACTATTTTAGATGCGGTTTTTTGCATTCTGATTGCGTTTTAATAGGGTATATCAAGAGAATGTACACTAAAAAGGGATTTTTCGAAAAATTCCCCCCATTGGAGGACGTGTTATACATTTATAATAGATACATTTTGAGCCACAACAACGCGTCGCTCTGCTAGTAAATATATAAATCAATAGATTACCAAAATTGTTTTTAGTTCTTAATAAATTAAAGTTAATTTACAATCTTTTACATTAAAAATTATTTACAGTATAATGTCACAAAAACTATATTATATAACTACAAAATTTATTATAATATAATAAATTTGAAATACAAGTTTCTCAAAATACACATTGTTACATTCAAATAAATAATGCAATAAATAAATAAAATAAACTAAATACAATGTATTTCTACATACATTATAAAAATTAAATATAACATGATAAAAAATTATGATTTGAGAAGTAACTTATTCTTTTGATAGAAACTTCATTACATCTCAGTTATAAAGTTTAAGTAATATATGAAATTTATGTATTATGATGATATGAAATGATTTGAGGCTGAATTGAGTGCAGAATTTAATTCTTTTTTCTTTAGATTTTACTGGATATTCTATAATTCATGTACTATAGGAGGAAAATCAAGTTCCAAAGTCTACCTAAGTCTAACCTTGTTCCTAAGTCTAACCTTGCATGTCTTGGTCTTGATTTGGGTGAGTCAAATATCTACTGTAGGAAAATGATTTTTTTTATATTAGAAATTATACTTTAATATACAGCAGTTATATTTTTGAAATTATTGATTATTTAATTTAATTTCAATAATTTCTTTTATATATAAATTAGTTAAATGAAAATTAATGTTATGAAAGTGGAATATATTGTGATTAATGTGAGAACAATAATTATAATCACTTCTTGTTTAACTCTGATTTATTTATAAGATAGGGGTTCTTAAATAATAATGAGATAGATAGGGCTTACATCCATTAGCAAATACAATATAATAATACAGTGTTAAAAGATATATGTTGAAAATAATTTGATGCACTCAACTGTTATTTTTAGTGAATAGAAGAAATAAATAATGTCAAGTAAGTTATAAATGTTTATAATTTATTTTTAATTATTTATTATTTTCCTGGCTTTTATATATAACAGAGGGTAATATGGCAGTAAATAAAAAAATGACCCATCCAAATTTTTACATTTTTGGACTCTGGACCTTAAACAACATCAAGAAATGCAAAAAAAAAAGTACAGATTTTTTTCTCTATATATGGATGTTAGTGTACGTGGGCACGATTTTGTTCATCCTCTTTGAAGCTTAATAACTCCTGTGCTTTTTATTGAAAATTTCTGAAATTTTGCATGGTGATTTGTTTATTAGGGATATTGTTTATTAGATGCTATTAAATTTTGGTGATTAAAGGTCAAGGGGTAGGAATAAAGGGGGTTGTTGTGTGTATCTCCAGTAGGATCAGACTTAATGATGATTTTACTCATTATTAGCATTTACAATTTTTTATAAAACCCATCCCTACCTTCAAAATTAAGCTTTTTGCCATTTTATAATAGTTATTGATAAAAATACAAAAAGGTTTTTAGTAAAACATGATAACAGATGGTACCACCAAATGTTGCTGGGAAATTAAGCAACTTGTTGCTGGATTTATTTTCTTAGGTGGTAGAAATTACAGTTCTTAGTTTTATCATTAACATAAAATCATAGTTTCTACCAGTAAGTTTTTCCATTGCTTACTACTAGTAATGAACTGCAATTCTGATAAAAAATGTGAAAGAAATTCGAATTAATGATGAGAATTTTGTTTTCTTAAAAAAAAGGAAATAATAATAATAAATTATATAAAATACAGTCACAAAATAAAATTTTCACAACATTAGTTTGATGAACAAGAGTAATATTCTTTGAATAATTTTATCAATAACAGTATAGTTGGAATTACAGTTGTTAAATGAGAAGTGATTGTATCTATGGTCTTTAAATTCAAAAGACAGATGAAGTTTCTCATTATAAATATATATTTTATACAAAATGTATTTTATGAATAATTATTTTCTTGGAAAATTGTCTTTAAAGATGATTAAAATGATTCTTGATGTTTTTATTAACAATAAATTCCTTCAATTTATAAAAAGTTTATATATATTTATACATCATAACTGATTTCATTTCTTATTTGACTTTCCCAAAACATATCAAGATGTGCAAATTTCAGTAATTTGTCAATGGTGCATGAATTATGGGACATCATATATAATTCTTATCTAAAGTAAAAAAGTTTAAGAAAAACTTTTGATTTAAAAAAGTTTTTTCTATCAAATTTTTATCATTACATTTTAATTTTTGTCTCCTATAATCTTTTAGTCCTTCAGTGTTATAATACAATGAGTTCCATTACTCTTTGAAATAGCAACTCAAAGATTTTTGTTTCTTTCATATTATTAAAAAACTGATATTTCTCACTATTTGAGTTTATTTTATATTATGAGAAAATTTTATTTATATGATTAATTGGAAGAATTATTTTTAATATTAATTCATACTAAAAGGTTTCCAAATGTATTTATTTTATTTTTTTTGTTGTTTAAAAATGACATTGCTGGTGTATTTATCTGTTGTACTGTAATAATGTTTGTAAGATTTTTATTATTGTATTTTATTTTTTATGAAAATTTAATTTGATGAATTAATAATGATACCAAAGTATAGCAGATAGGTAATTTTGTTTTATTATTTGCCATTCTTCGATTAATTGTATTTAATTTGTTTTTGTTATATGAAAGGTTTTATTTATAATTTTTCAAAATCAAAAAAATTGTGTTCTATTTACCTGCATTTGTAATTGTTTTGAGAGAGAAACATTAATATATTTGTTGGTATTGTATTTTCTTTATTACTTTATACTCTATTATTTCACTTTTTGGTATGATTATGCTATTAATATTTCTTCTTATAGTGTCAGTTACTATTTATATTTAATTTATATATATATAAATTATTATATATATATATAAATTAAATATAAATATATAATATATATATATATATATCAGAGTAAAGTTTGGAAATTGGACTGCTAGGGGATTTGGATCATCCAGGATTTTCTGAATTCTCAGGAGGTAACTTATAAGATTCAAATTTAAGGAGAAATGAAGAAAAAGAAAAAAAAAACAATTAAATTATGATAGTATTTTTATTATTTCATTGTAAAACCACTACCATGACTACTTAGTATGAATTTATTCTGAAAATTATATTCAGAAAAGAAATAATGTTCTGTTAGATGAAAATTTATGTAGAGAATATGATGATTGTTTATGTTGTTGAAAATTGGCACACAACAATTAGGCTCTCTTTGTTTTAGAAATTTAGAGTAATCATAATGAATGTAATCTAATACTATAATATTTTATTTACTTGATTTACTGATTAAGGAATTTGCCACAATACATTGTTATTGTCTCTGCATTTTCCAAATACATTTGCAAATAACAAACTGCAAAATTCATAAAAGTATACATTTTAAAAAGTGAGATTTCTGGTTTGATTTGATAGGATAAGGCAATGCAACATAAAGTGAATCTGTCAAGGAGAGACCTGCCAGGAGATCTTTCTGTGAAAAATTGGTGCTTAGATTCTCAAATCACACCTGAATTCAAAATTTCCAGCAAATAAAAGTAAAAAATACACCTTGAACGTTTTCGGCCCGTTTTCGGCTTATTTAGATGTTAGACATGCAATGAAAATCCAGAAAAATCTGTATCGCTAGCTCATTGGCCAGGTCAAACCTAGATCAACTACTAATGTATAGTTTTTAAACATGATCAGAAGATGATTTTACAATAATGAAAGAGATGATAACAGATTATTTTTCAGTAGTTTTATCCATTGAGCTACTTGTGGGCATGTATTTCTGGAGTATTGATTTTCAAACTTTTACTGTGTTAAAGTGTTGGGTAAGTACATAAAAGAAATATATAATATTTGGGTTACTTTTCTATAATAGATTAATTTCTCAAACTTGTGACAAAACTTATTATTAAAATCACATCTATGATTTCTGAATGCAACAAATTCATTCATTATGAGTCTTGTTTTATTTTTAAACCTCAAGTACTTGTTAAATCTTATGAATTATATCTAAGAATTAAAAAAATATATATTAATCTAGAAATATTAATCTTTAAATGTTTTTTGTATGTGCTGGCATTTTTATGTAAACTAATATTTAATTATGAATGGTGATGCCAAATTTTGATAGATTATAAATAAAGAATATTCACATGCTATTTATTGCTTTGAAATTTTATTTTCTAAATTCAAAATATAGTACTTTACTCTTGAAAAATTTTTGTCTCTAGCATTTTAAGTTTAATTCAAATATAAATTATAAACTATCATATTTCAATTAAATCTATCACAGACAAGTCTGTCCAAGAGGGATCACCATTTATTTTGCATTCCAGACTACACATACACATTAATGGTGACAGGCCTTCCTTATCATATTTCCATATCCTATTTCATTTAAAAAGTTTGGCTTTTGGCCTGGATAGATAGCCCATCTCTGACCAGTACCAGAATATGAAAATATCAACATTCAATATCAGATTTATTTATCAAAATTTTTAATATTTTTTGATGGAACTTCTTTTCATTTTAAAAGGGCTATTATAGGTGTATATAGTTGCCTTACAGTCCTTAATTCTAATTTATCATTAATTGTCTACTTGGACACAACTTATTATTAGAACATTAATTTTTTCTATTACAGGAAAAATTACTACAGGTGATATAATAAAGAAATTTTGTTTTTTCTGATTCAGATTTCATCTTTGTGTCAATATCCAAAAACACCAGTTATAAGGTCCTAATAATAAGTTGTGTCCAAGTAGACAGTTAATGATAAATAAGCTATTAAAGGTTGTTTGGCTTTTCCTGTGTATATAGTATACAGGAGGTCCTTGTTTAATGAGTATTCATTATTCAAGTCCCCATAGTTAAATGGTCAAAAAATTGTGGAACATCACTTAAAAATTCCCTGCACTTACGAGGTTTCCCTGCCAGATGGTAACTTCCTCTTGCATTATGTAATCTACACATGCATTGATACATATCACCATATACAGGATGCATTATTGTGCATGTGTTTGTCAATTTGGTTCCATTTTGACTGGTTTTTCTGTTTCTTTATCTGATTTTCTTATCAAAATTATGTCTATTAATAGAGTGTAGCAAAACTGATGATAGAGTTCCTAAAAGGAAATGTGCCTCTTACAGTCTAGAATATAACAGCAGAGTATATTATACATTATAATATAAGTATACAATTGACTAAATTGAAGATAGTGATGAGGACTTTAATAAAATTTCCAGTGAAAATGTTCATTAATGGTTTACATGACCCATTTGCAAAGTGTATCAAAATCATTAATTATTTTCTTAAAAATGAACCAGTTTATGAACAGGTAGAAAAATTTGTGCATGGGATAAAAGACTCATTATCTTGTTATAAAACAATATTAAATGGAAAGATAAACTGCAGGAAACAAGCATACTTTACATTCATTTTTTCTATATCGAAACTCAGAAGTCAGTGAAAATGATCAAAATGGAAGCTATAATATTTATTATTATTATAATTGAATATCAGAAGTTATTTATAAATAACTTCTGATATTCAATTATAATAATAATAAATATTTTACATATGTGTACATAGGGATAATAAAGATTTCTTTCATGTTTTCCATTTGGTTTTGCTTTATTGGAGTCCCAATTATACATTTTTATATTTTCTATGAATTTATGATCTCTGCTTTTTGTAGATTAGTGGTAACTTTTTGGTCCTAGTTAACCATGTTAAATGAGGACCCCCTGTAGTTATATACACTATTTTACTATGCAGGATAATGCACTGCATTCTCAATTTTATATGAATATGAATATACGTATCCATATTTATTATTATCATAAATCTATTATCATATTTAATTGTAATAATTATAAACTTTATGAATTACATGAAATTAAAATATCACTTATACAATGTATTCAAGTAGTTTACATATTTTGACTAATTTTTTTAATAAATATTTTACTTTTAACTTTACCGAAATGTGATTTAAAAATGTATGCCTTTTTATAGTTAATCCAATAGTTATTGAACATGGTACATTCTCTTGGTCAAAAGATGAATCTGCAATACTGAAAGAGATAAATATCAACATTCCAGAAGGATCTCTAGTAGCTGTAGTTGGGCAGGTTGGTTCCGGAAAATCATCTTTGCTCTCTGCCATGTTGGGTGATATGGATAAATTAGAAGGAAGAGTTAATATAAAAGTATGTGCATTCAATTTAAATTTTAAAATTAAACAATGTATTAGAAATTTAATATTTAAAACTTGTTATTTAGGGAAATATTGCATATGTAGCACAGCAAGCATGGATTCAGAATGCCACATTGAGAGATAATATACTATTCCATCATGCTATGAATCATGAGAAATATAATCAAGTAANGAAGATTGAAACTATGAATGATCCCAATCTGATCCTGAATTTGTTACTAAATTTTTTTTGCTTCATAAATATCAAACCATACTTTGGACATAAATTATTTATTAATAAAAACAGATTGTTACACAAGGATTTTTAAATTATTTGATTTATTATGTAAGAATTTTATGAACGAAATGTTAAAATATATTCTAGATAACTGCCACATTAAATTGGTTAGTGAGGATGAGTTCTGAGTTGGAAACCAACATAGTTTCTGTGGAGAGAATGGCAGAATATACACTAGCAGAGAAAGAGGTAATATATATTTGAAAAATGATTATTAAATATTAGAGAATTATTTATTTTTTTATGCTGTTTTTTTAGGCAGAATGGGAAATAGAAAATAGTCGACCTCCTCTGTCCTGGCCAACCAATGGCGAAGTGGTATTTGATCGATATTCCACGCGATATCGACAAGGATTAAATTTGGTTTTAAAGGGTATTAGTTGTGAAATAAAGTCTGGAGAAAAGGTGAAATACTTTCATTAAAGCAATTTTATATAATTTTATAATTTTTTTATTAATTCTTTATAATACTTTTAACTTCTATAAAACAACTTGTAATACATGTAGAAGTAAAGGTTTTGTCTCTTATACTAAAGCTATTAAAAGAGAAGGGGAGAACTTTTGCTGTGTCTTGATAGGTGCTTTTTAACTTAGCAATTTATTTGTTTATTATAGTGATAAATTTATTTGAGATTTTATAATAATATAAACAAATTAAATTAGAATTTTTCATTTTAAAACTCTAGTTTAGTTAATTTTTGAATTGAAATTACTTATTATAACATATTAGTCTGTTGTTCAGTATTTATTATTTCTGTATTCATTGCATTACAGTATTACCAAATTAATTACTAAATAAATGGTAAGAGCAGCATACCATATTCTTCAACAACAGTTTATATATTAAAATTTTCAGTCATCTGCTCTTTTGCGATAGATATTTTTGAAATATTTATTTTAATTAATAAATTTATTTTCACTTTAATTTTTTAAAATATTAATTAACTGTTTAACAAAGCAAGTAAACTGTGCTAATTTACCATATATCTCGGCAGATAAGACGACCTTCAGATAAGACAAGTATATTTTCGTTGAAGTTTTATAGTTTTAGCATATATCTGTCCTATAAGATGACCCCCAAAACTATCAACGGCCTATGAATTTAGTTTAGAACAGTGATCATCATCTGAATAATAATACTGTATAGTAGCGTATATGGAATTATGTTCTATTTATAATTTTTTGAATGAATAAATTTTATTTTCTTGCATCTGGCAGCACTGCCTTGCAATTGTTGCAAACATTGGCACTGATTTGGCATTCGAGTAATGACCTTGACTATTCACAAAAACATTGTATGGGTTCTTCTATTTGTGCACATACCCTACTCCCTTCTAGTAAATAATTATGGTTTGTTTGTCTTTTTATAATGGTTTTAATTTATACAAATTTCAATCTAATTTTTTTGTATCTGTCCTATAAGATGACCCCTGATTTTGGGGGCCTTTTTTTATGATTCAACTATTGTCTTATCTGCAGAGATATATGGTATTTTTATTTTAGAATGTTTTCTAATTACTTTGGTTCTGAATTTAGTTCAACTTAATACAGTGGAATCTGGTTACTTTAAATCAGTTGAGGGAAAAAAATTTGGACTTTGAGTTAAAAAGTATTGAATGATAGAGGTTTGGTTAAAGATCAAAATTTTGTGCATTAATTTATCTGTGACCCATAATAAACTGTTCATACAATATTTTCATGGGTCTTTTTTAACTTAGAATCAGTGTGTTAATGTAAACCTTTTCATGTTCAGAAACTCAACACTTAATTGAATTGAATAGTTCAATAAGTTACTGAAAAATAGTTGATCCATTCACTTAAGTGTTTAGTAAGGAGTTTTTTAATTGAAATCTTTTGTGTCTAGAATTGATTTGATTTTTATTTTTTTATCACAAATGTACCACTCATTACAATTGTTATATTTTTAAAATTATGATGTAAAGGTTAAAATTTTTACATAGAGTTAGACTATAATCATTTTGTAAAATTAATTTATCAAAAATCCATTTATTTATGATGTCAGCTATTCTGAGAAATCCATCAGCAAAAACAAAAAATATATGTATATATTTTTGTTTTATTTGATTGCTGATGGATTTCTCAGACTAACTGACATCATATATATAAGTAGGTTTGAATGGCAGTTACAGTATCTGTCACACATGTGGTCTGGAAGCCACCACCTCACCTGCTGTCACATGACACAATGTTTATTTTTAGTTGTATTTGGTTCCCATGCTTTGTAGAAAGTTTCTGGTTATTTATTTTCTAGATTAATGTTAATTATTTTATTTAAATTAAAATTCTGGAGAGTTTGTGAAAATACTGTGTCAAAACCCCATTTGAGTTACACAGTTCGATGAATTCAAGTTAACCAGGTTCTACTGTATTAAAATTTAATTAAAGATTTTCATATATAGATTTATATGAAAATAAACTTTCCTACAATGAAAATATTGCTGTGAGCAGAGTTATAATCATTTTTTAGCATGAGTTTAGGTTAATATTTTATTCAACATGTGGAAGTAAATAAAAAAAATTATAAAATATGTTTGTTTGAATAAATTTGTAGCATTTTTGCTTTGTTAGATTTGTTTGGATTTAACATATCTGTATATTTAAGTAAGTAATATCACTTAAATATACAGATATGTTAAATCCAAAAATTGTCACTAATAATTATTTTTTAAACTTCACATTTTATGCAAAATACATATCATTAACCCTATATTAATCTTAAAAACTCTAAAATAAAATTCCAAAATTATTTTAAAATTTACTTAATATCATCATCAAAATGCTACAAATTTATTCAAACATAGATGCATGTATGAAAATGTCAACAATAAAGTTAACATTCCTGAATATTTAGGTTGGAATTGTTGGTAGAACTGGTGCTGGAAAATCATCCTTGACACTCTCTCTTTTCCGAATCATTGAAGGAGCATCAGGTTCGATTATTATTGATGGCGTGGACATATCCAAAATTGGACTTCACGACTTGCGATCAAAACTCACCATCATTCCACAAGTAAATTAAGTTTTATTGAATATTTTTTGGAAAAAATAGTCCTATGCTTATAACACTGAACTTCTCTAAGGATCCTGTATTATTTTCTGGCACGCTGCGGATGAATCTGGATCCATTCAATAAATATTCAGACGAGGAAGTGTGGATTGCTCTGGAACATTCTCATTTAAAAATTTACGTCAGCTCATTAGAAAGTGGTCTTGAACATATGATTTCGGAAGGAGGCGAAAACCTCAGGTGAGTAATGATGTACATAATAAAAATTTTGATATTATATTTATTTTATGTTAAATTTTTAGTGTGGGCCAAAGACAGTTAGTATGCCTAGCTCGTGCTCTACTCAGGAAAACTAAGGTATTGATTCTAGATGAAGCTACGGCAGCTATTGATTTAGAAACAGATGCTTTAATACAGACTACCATAAGAACAGAATTTGCAGGTTGTACAATACTCACAATTGCTCATCGTTTAAATACCATTATGGATTATGACAGGTAAAGGAAATCTTAAGCATTTTGATTTTATTTTTTGAGATTGATGTAACATAAATATTTTCAATAGAGTTTTAGTGCTGGACAAGGGAATCATCAAGGAATTTGATAGTCCAGAAAATCTTCTTCAGAACAAAGAATCTTTATTCTATGGGATGGCAAAGGATGCCAGACTAGTGTAGTTTAGATTGTGATAATTCAAGGTCAAAAGAACCATGAAATTACTGTATGTAATCAATCAATGCAAGTGCCTGTGATTTGTAATTTAGTAAATATTTTCATAGTTTAAACTCATTAATAAATCATGTTATTCATTTCATTTTAATGTATCTATTATTTAAAGTGTTACACATTTCAACTTTAGTTTTCTTTAACATTTTCTCAATAATATAAAATTGATTTACAAATTCATATTTTATTGTATGCTTTTATAAAACAAGGGTAAAAATCTATATTTATGGACATATTAAAAACATATGTCCTTACTCAACATTGTGATTTTGACAAAACCAAATAATAAAATTAAACTGAAATTTATTATTTAATTTTCTACCAAAAAATGTATGTAATTGTTTTCTGAAAACCAAAGCACAACTGACCAATAATTTTTTCATCTTGTCCTTATTAAAGAATAACTTAAATTTTCAACCATCTGATATAAATTTTACGCTAGCAAAAATAATTGTGACATCAAAATGCTGGGCTGCAATTTTTAATCATATATTTTAAATTAAAAATATCTTTTGCTTTCGATCTCATATTAGTAGTCTTGCCCATGTATGCCATACTTTTCCTGATAACAACAGTGTCATGCCAGTCATCTACGTAACTCTGTTCTGGGAAAAATTTTTGAATTGAAATCACAACTTGGAAGTTTGTATATAGTTAATCAGGGCCTCCTGCCCATAAGCTTTCCATATCCAATCTCGGCTTTCACCTAACATTGTCCTAAAGATTAAGGATAGATGGAATTTATAGATCTATGTTTTCAAATTACAGCCCAAGTAGAAATAAGTTCTCTTTAGTCAGATTCTAACTTCCAATTTTGATAATATTCAACATAATTGATATGACTTTTTCTGAAAGTTAATGAATACCTAAGTTTGTAACATTTCATTCATTTCTGATAAAAATGCCAAAAAGTCTTTAGAATGAATATATTTTTGTTAAATTAACTATTTTGAGTTTTAACTCAAATCTTTAGTTAAAGCTATATGTTTGTACATTTTACATTAATAAATTTTTTATAAAATTGTTATATTTACATACATTCATTGCAGTATATTTCCACAATTTAATTCCAAAACACTTAAAAAATTAATAATTTGAATAATTCATTACTAAATTGAATTAATCATTTATCTGAGCCTTAATTTAAAAATCTTGCATAAATTCTAGTTCTTTTATTCATTGTTAATTAATTTTTTCAATGAATAGTATTAAGATTGTTGTTTAATTATCACAAGGCATTTCCATTCTAACAAATTTTATTATCTACCTTGTGTTCCATGTTCAAGAACATTTAAAGTATTTTACATTTCAAAAGCCTTTGATTTTAAATTAGTAAATTCAGTAGTAGATTATTACACACACAGTTAAACAGCTTATTTCATAAAATATTTGCATGTGTTTTAAATGATAACATTGGCTTTTCCTTAATATTCTTTATATATCAAAAGCATAGCAAAAATAATTCATAATTTATTCTGCATCATAAATCTGTAAATTTTCCACATCTCAATTATTTGCTTTTTGGATGCTAATATCTTAAGCCTCCTTCCATAATGTCTCTTGCAAAACAAATTTTTCAATCTTTTTATAAAAGTTGCCAAGTTTTGTTTCATACAGAATTGGCTGATTCCTATTTTTATTTTCTTGTTTATCATTCTTGAAACTTTTTTTTATACAATGTACAAGTTTCAAGAATGATAAAAATTTACAATGAACATTTACTTCAAAACTTAAAGGATTTATTTAATAAATGAATAAATCAAATATCACACTACATTATATAATAAAGGTTATAACATTTAATTATAATTTTTTGGAATTACAGTCACGTAAGTGTAAATAACAACTTTCTTCAATCTGTAAAGGCTTAAGATCTAATCTGATAATTAAATGCATAAAATTGTGCTTTATACCATATTCAAATTCTAAAATTAACACAATTTTTTATTATGCATAGGATATGAACTAAAGATGTAACATGTCGAAATAAGTATTATGGCATGTTACTAAACAATTTTAAAGATAAGTATTAGTAAAAATATCAGTTATAAAAGAAATCCTTTACCCCCCTTTTATTTATCTCATTTTATTTTTTATCAAAAATTAACAATCCATCATTTGATATTTAATAAATGTTGAATATTAAATTTCTATGCACAATTTTGATAGAGATCAATTAATTAAATGGATTCAATGCTTCTGCCATTACAGCACTGTAGCCAAAATCATAGCATTATTATGATCAAATTACAAATATACATGGACTACATTTAAGAACATGGCAACATCATTTGATATTAGGAGGATAGAGTTCATTCGTCTTTGGTAGGATTTTCTGCACTTTTTTCGGCAGCTTTTGCATCCGGTATCCAGAGTCCAGAATCGACGCACCTTTTCATGTGGTATCGTGCTTCTTCTTCAGGCATTTGAGCGATAACTTCTTGTAACATGCCTATGTCTCTCTTTTCAAAGCATTCTTTCATTTTCTGAAAACATAACAATTATTTTTAAATAAGAAAATTATTTTAATGTGTAATATCTGAAACACACAATAATTTAAAGAAATGCAAGACAAAATTTTAAGCAGTTTCTGAATAAGTTTTATCATAATCCAGCATTATGGATGCCTAGTTAATATTTATGTAATATTCCAAGGAAAAGTGAAGAATAAAAAATTTGAGGAAGAGAAAAGAATATTTAAATATAAAAGAAACAATAGTTCTCTTTTCTTTTTTTCCTACATTTTTTCCATCTAGTGTGAGGAATACAAAATTTATTATCTTTATAAACATAATTTTTTAATTTAAATTTATTAAAATTATCTTACAAGATCCTTCAGATTCAGCCAGTTTTAATTCAGTTATAATATCAGTTCCCTTGATAGTCATGTATATCATGTACCATAATAAGTATTATATGACAAAATTAATGTTGAATGACCAGTATGTTCAACATAATACTAATCATTCAACATGATGCCTAGAAATCAGAAGTTACAAATAAATATTTTGATTACATTACCTCTGGTAATGATTCAAAAACTTCAACAGGATCCAATCCACCAGGTCCTAATTTCTTCTCTCTCTCTTCCTAAATCAAAATATATCAGTTAATTTTCACATTAATGAGATGTTATAAAATTTCCATTCTTTCTTAGTAAAACAATTAATTCTTACTTCTTCGATTTCCTTTGCAATTTTCTGAATACATGCTTCGGCCCGATCTTTTACTCTTTGCTTAAATGCTTGTAGTTCATCATCAAAAGCGTCTTTGTACTGTTGGTCAGCCAGTTGGATTCTTAAATTTTTTAAGGCAAGTATTTGTTTTAATTAAGTTTAAATAATTTTTTTATATTTTAAAATATATCAGCTAATTTTAAAATGAATGTAATATAAAATTTGCATGCTTACCGACTAAAAAACGAAGACACACAAGCTCTAGGATCGGTATCCAACTGTTTGGCCAATTCTAATATATATTGCATACATATACATTGATGGGCAACATGCTCCATCAATTGATGTTTCTAAAAATATAATTAAATTATACTTAATAATAAACTAAAATTACTTAAGTAATAAAAAGTTGTAATTTTCATACTTGTTCAACTTCTAAGTTAATACACCACATGACTAAATAATTTGCTGTTTCTTCACAAGCAAGGAAAGGATGATCTTGAAGAAATCGTTTGCTGTCATCATATTTACGGAGCATTCCAAACTTTTTCAGTAAAGATTCATTCTCTTCTATAAATTTTTTCTACCAAATATAAAATAATAGTCAAACTATCAACAATTTATTAAATAAATATATTGAAATTATATTTACTTGTCTTGCTTCTCTTTCTTCCTCAGTTAGTTCTTCTTTTACTCTTTGAGTATTTTTGTTTAAAACCTTTAACAGAAAATTTCTGTAAATTTATTGTTTTTTTATGTATATAAGTGTTTTAGTATTAATATAAAGTATTTTGAATTTTTAAGTAAATCAAGTAAATTGACTATAATAATTGTTATTTATTTGGTTTTTTTTAAGTGATTAACAGAAACTTCATAAATGAAGTTTCTGTTAATCACTTAAAATATCTGCTCATCATATTTACGGAGCATTCCAAACTTTTTCAGTAAAGATTCATTCTCTTCTATAAATTTTTTCTACCAAATATAAAATAATAGTCAACAGAAACTTCATAAATGAATAACAGAAACTTCATAAGTGAATAACAGAAACTTCATAAATGAAGTTTCTGTTAATCACTTAAAAAAATAAAATTAAAATAAATATTATGTAGATTTAAATTAGTAATACAAAGAAACTTCATAAATGAAGTTTCTTTGTATTACTAATTTAAATCTAGATAATATTTATTTTCATTTGCATATATAAACTGAATTCCTATATCCTAGTATTGTTATTAATAGCCATCATATTTTCTGGAATAAAGACACAGGGTGATATTTTTGTCACCATGTCATAAAGTTTGAGGAAGACTGTTTGAGGAATTAAGTTATGAAGATCATAACTTAATTCCTCAAACAGTCTTCAGTATACAACAGGTAATCTCTACATTGTCAAACTCTAATTAAACAATAACATATTTACTCAACATATTTTTACTATAGCTATGTAGCTTTTGCATGTATTTGTGCTGGATATTTTAATTGTAAATGTCTTCTTTTAAACTCCTCTTACTTCCTAATAATTAAAGGCATGCATTCTAATTATATTTTTTAAAATAAGAATATAGTAAAAATCTTTTGAGGCAGAGTGCAAAAAGCACAGGATGGCTTAAATATACAAACTCCCATTCCAGCATAGAATATTTAATCTTATATGCTGAAAATATAGAAACTGCAAAGAACAGTTAATGATTTAATTATATTTTTCAAATATCTTATTATATTTTATTTTTCAAAAACACTTATGAGATTGAAGAAAGTTAAATGATAAAGGAAACATATGAATTATATAAAACTGATTATTATTGAAAAAAAAATAAAGTTGTTTAGTTATTAATAATAATAATAATAATAATAATAATATTAACTTTGGCTGAAAAATAATTCAAAACATAGCAAATGTCAAATATAAAAATATTATATGGCATATCATTTCCTATGGTTTGAGTTTGTGATCTTTTTCAACATAACAATTAAAATTTAAGTTATATAAAATAAAATAAATTTTTGCTTTGAAAACAGCAATATAACAGTTATTTCAACAACTAGCAGACCCCGCCACGTGTTGTTGTGGCTCAAAATATATCTATTATAAATGTATAACACTTCTCCCGTGGGGGGATTTTTCGAAAAATCCCTTAGTATACATTTTCTTGACGTACCTTAAAATGCAAAAAACCACATCTGAAATAGTATAATAGAAGCCAAGTTCTTCACGGTAAGCCTTAATCCTGTCCCTCTCCCCCACGGGGGGATATCGAAAAATCCCTTTGTAGTGTATATTCTGTTGACATATCCTATTAAAATGCAAAAATCTGCATCTAAAATAGTATAAATAGAAGC